ACAGACAGCTGAGTGTGTTTTAGCCGATAATAGGCTTTGGTTGTGGTCTTATGTGACATATCACATGAGGACACGATTCATTGGATCCAGATGAGCCTGATTCTCAGCTGTTAATGGTCATTCCAGCAGCACAGCACATTCTGCACACTGACCAATGCCCCCAGTGGGTTCATTAAGCATATACTGTATATGATAGGTCATTACCTTGGGAGCAACTTCACTCTTGATTTCATTTCACTGTAGGAAATCACACACTAAATAATATTAATATGTGGCTTTGTGAGTTCACTAAGGCTCACCAATATTATACTATTATTCCAGCTATTATGCATACAAAAGATGGGTGTATATATTCATTTGACAGTATTTCCTGACAGAAAGAGAGCCAATTTCCTTTCAGCTTGTTCACACCACGCTTACTTGTTTCAATTATTCCACCTCTGTGTTTCTGTTTGAGAACACCCTAGAAGCTATTCTTGCTTATGCATGATTTGTTGAGACTGCATCTGGTAGACAACATTCTCTGTTAACTGTTTAAAAAGTATAATTTGATTGAATACGCTGTGCATGATTCTTAAGGGCCAACCGATTTCAGTGTAGTAATCACTGTGATGCAATGTGCCTTAAAAAATAAATAATGGTGTACAACGCCCCCTCCCCCTGTGATGATGGCATAGACCTGGCACAGATGTTCAACTACTGCAGGAGAACCTTTCTGTCTTTGTAAACTGGAATAATTGCTGTAGTGGTGCCATTTGAGCCTTTACGTGTATTTTTCACAATATGTTCTAGTGTTAGTCCTTCTATTCAAAGGGAATCTGATATTATAGAGTGGGAAGCTGTGTTTCAAGTGGTGGACATCGCCCTGTAGGGAAGCCTTTACGTTCCTGTTCAGAGACGCTCTGCTATTTCCGGAACCGCATCCGAGCAGTGGAAAGCCCTTAACTGCAATTTCTTTCACAGCGCTTTGAACATCTGGAGCGTGCTCAAGTGACCGTGTGTGTGGGTGTGTTTGCCTTCCTCAGACAGAGTAAGAGAGACAGAGATGAGTTGATTAGATTTGGTTTTCATGGTGTGTATGTTGAGCTGCAGTGTGTGTGTGTGTGTGTGTGTTTGTTACAACACTGCATGTGATCAGTCAGTGGTAATATGAAGCGCTGTTTACAATACTGTCGAAAATGCAAATTTAAAGGATGTTTAGCAAGAGAAACATGTGAAAGACTGGGTTGTGTATGTTGTCTATATATACATGATGGCCTATAAAGGAGTGTAGCTAGCCAAGAGACCTTTGGTCATGTGTTAACAACATACCTTTATCTCCTGCATGGAGGTGTGTTTGGTGTGTGTGCGAGGCCATCTGTTTATGGGACCTGTGTGTTTAAATGTGTGCAAAGGTTCACTCGCTGCCCAGCTGGCACACTGACCTCTCCAGCAGCGCTCACTGTATGTGTGTGAGTCTGTAAGGAAACTATTATAGGAAAGTATGAGTACATTACACTAGGGCTGCCCTCAACTAAAGATGTTTCTAGTCGACCAATCGTCGTCAATTTAGGCAATTGGTAGACGAATCGTTACACGTATATGATAAATTATGATTATTAATATTATTTATTTTGATCTCCCAAAATGGTTTCAGTTTTAAAGGGTGACAAATAACGTTATTATATCAGCATGGTACGTTGTGCTTCACATACAATATAAAATAAAACTGAAATAATGTACCTTTTTAAATATTTAATGAAGTGTTACATGTAGAAAGCCATGAGTCACAGCGCACCGCACGGACGGAGCATTGAGGTTCGACTAATAGACGAATTAAAAAAATTGAAATGCTGACTAGTTTCTGGGTTTAGGACTCATTCCTGCAACACTTAATTGAACTGAACCAAGGAAGCCACCCTTTGGCACAGCCATTATAAAAAGTGGGGGAAGGATTAGAGATCCTAGTGAGGCCCCCTCCCTTTTGTTCTTTTCATTGATGTGTGAGATGCGTGTGCTAGGCTCTGACAAAGTCCTAAGAACCAGCCACTGAGCTGGATATTCGTAAGGCCTTGTTGTTTTTTCAATTATTGGGTTATTTTTTAAAGGAATAGCTCCAGGTTTAGTTGTGGTTGATACTGCAAAAACAGCTGCATAATGGCTCTGTTGGGAGTACTCTCAAGTTAAAAATAACCCAAATGATGATCTCGACCTTGGCTTGGTGGTAACAAATATATAATAGGAAATGTGCCTAACAAACTCAGGCATTGCATGTTAAAGACATGGGCGTTTTCCAAACAGTAAAAGTCTAATGAACAATGCTACGAGTTGCATTATGGGAGATGTAGGCTTCAGGATTCAAAACTATACGGTATTAAAAGTTAGGATATCTCGAACTATATCTATCATTTTCTGTGGTTTCCTTTAATTTCCAATCAAGTAATAGAGTCCTAATTTAAATGATTCACAATAAGGAGGGAAGTAAATATGCTTGAAATTACACAAAGAAGCCCGTTTGAGA